CATCTCTCCCCTTCCCACGGGAGCAGAGGGAAAGTAAACTGCAGCGTTGAATGGCCGTTTTTAAGGAAATCCTTCCAAACCTGGCTCCCATGTACAGGTTCCTCTGTACTGTTTGCTTGGCTGATGCAGCAGCAGCAGAGCAGCACCTTCTCGCCCTAACCTCGGGGAGTGACTGGGGTCCTCCGTGCGCCCATCTCTGGCTCCTGTGTACGGACGGCGGACTCAAGTTCTCTTCAGATGAGTAGCTCTCTGTAGTACCTCTTTATATGAGCATCAAACTCCAGGAATTCTGAGGTTTTTAAAACAGATTTACTCAGACTTTCAGTCCACTGCTGGCTAATAAGTAAGGCCCCACAGATAACAGCTCTAAAGCCTGGTCATAATACAGAAACAACTCCATGACACCACTGAAGAGTGACCCGCAACAGTCATGTTCCGGTGAGGAATCTGCCCTGAGAGGAGGAAGTCAGTGCCGCTCGTTCCTTCTTTTTGCTCTGGGGACAAGCTAAGTGGTGGGGTTGCTGGTAGAGAAACCACAGCCCTTCTGCCTTGGGAAACCAGAGGACTGGTTCTTTCCCGCCTGGGCTGCTCTCGGCTCAAGAGAGGAGATCCCCAAATTCTGGCTGACCCCTAGGCCACCGCCTGGAGTCACAGCAAGTCAGCTAAAGACGAAACGTCTGTCCTGAGATTGAAACTTCTGCCCAAGAAACATTTTGAGGTTCAAGTCCGACGCAAGTAACTGCCTACTAAAACAAAAGAAGCCGTTCATCTGGGAAAAATAATGATTTGATATCCGTGACAGCCATTCACAACGTGGCAATACACAGAGAATCAGGAAAACGTGACCCTTTCTCCAGGGAAAAAGGCAATCAGAGAAGACGAGTCCCCAGCGGGTTTAAATGTTAGACTCTGCTCCCAAAGATTTTTTAAAACAACTGTTATAACTGCCCTCAATAATATAGAAGAAAATATACTTATAGTAATGGAAAAAATAAGGAATATAAGCACATATAGAAACGGTGTTTTAAAATGAAGTGGGAATTCTAAAACTAAAAACTAGTGTTTAAAATGAAAAAAATTATAAATGATCTTATCCAAGTAGAGATGGCAGAGGTAAAAAAAAGTGAACTTGAAGACCGATCAATAGAATTTATCAAATCTGAAAAACAGGAAAAGAAGATTTTTTAAAAGGTGAACAGAGCCTCAGAGACCTGTTACTTAATATCAAACAGCCTAACGTGGGTATGATACGAGTCCCAGGAAAGGAGAGAAAGAATGAGGCAGGCAAAATATTTTAAGAAACAAAATACGATGGAAGACAAGTTTACAGTTTTGAGATGTTCAGTGAACATCTTGCAGGATAAACGGGACTAGTCATATAGCCGAAGTGCTGAAAGCCACATCGAAAGAGCAAAGCAGTACACATGGAGTCACGATTACAGGTGACCCTTGAATAGCACGGGTTGGAACCGCACCGGTCTTTTTCAATAAATAGATACCACAGTACTGTATGAACCATGGCTGGTTAGAACCATGGATGCAGAACCAGAGATAGAGGGCCACCTACACAGTTACATGTGGATTTTCAACTGCCACGGGGAGGGGGGCAGGGCCCCCTAACGTCAGCTGTATTTGATTTATGGTCAGCTCTCCATCAGAAACTATGGAAGCATAAAGAGAACAGAACAACATCTTTAAAGTTGTTGGGGTGTGGGGGACAACTGTCAAGCCAGAATTCTGTATCAAGTAAAAATATCCTTTAAGAATGAAAATGAACTAGAGCTAATTTCAGATAAAGAAAAATTAAGAATTCATCACCAGAAAACCTGTGCCATAAGAAATGACACTGTCTTGAGGGGTTTATAAGATACATAGCTATAATACTTAAAGTAACTAATAAAGGAGGAGGAAATAAATGGACCTTTATGTTTACTGGGGTTTTGTATTTTATATGGAATGGTGAAGTAGCCTATGAAAAATTCAGGATGTATGTTGTATATCTACAGTGACAACTAAAAGAACTGTTGCTTTTAAAAAAGCAGAAAAATTAGATTAGAATTCCCCCCCCCAAAAAATGAGTATTTTTTTTAAAGGACAAGAAAGGAGGAACAAAAAACAGGACAAACAGGAACAAGTAATAACATGGTAAGCCCAAACTTAGCCATCTCAGTGATTACACAAGACATGCTAGTGGGGTGAACAATACAGGTAAAACGCGGAATTTATCAGAAGGGATAAAAAACTAGGCCCAGCTGCGTGCTGTGCGGTGGTCTTAAGATACGTCTGCAGACTCGTTGACATCCCTCCCTGGGCTGGGCTTAATGACTTGCTTCAAACAAAAAGAGCCAGCAGAAGAGATGATGTGTGGCTTCTGAAACCAGGTCATAAAAGGCTTGTACTCTCTTGGATCGACAGCCTTGGGGAGAGCCAGCTGTTCTGCCGGCGGACGGTCCGGCCATACTCTGCAGAGGCCCATGTGAAGAGGAACTGAGCCTCCCATAAGCCACCTTTACAAGGACATTCTCCAGCCAAGCCTTGACCGCCTTCTTGACTACATCACGGAAGACCCCGCACCAGAACTTCCCATCTACACCACTCCTAAGTTCCTGACCCACAGAAACTGTGAGAGAGTCATTGTTTAGTGTCTTAAGCCACTAAGTTTTTTGGACTAATTTGTAATACAGCAATAGATAATATATGCATCTGAACAGGCATACTTTAAATACAAAGACACAGGTTGAAAATAAATCACTGGGAAAAGATATTCCGTGCAAACAGTACGCATAAGAAGAGCAGGCAGATTTGAGTAGACGTCTCACCAAAGAAGATACAGAGATGGCAGGTGAATAAGATGCTCAGCATCGTTAGTCATTAGGGAAACTGCACATTAAAACCACTGCTCAGCTATTAAATGTCTAAAATGAAAATGACCATACCACGTGTTGTCAAGAACAGACAACAACTAGAAATATCATCCATCGCTAGTGGAAAAGTAAAACAATATGATCATTTTGGAAAACAGCCATTTCTTAAAAAGTTGAACATAACACCTACTCTGATTTTGGCATTCCACTCCTCAACAGTTACCCAAGGGAAAGAAAGCATGTGTCTGTACAAAGACTTGTACACAAATGTTCACTCCAACTTCATTTGTAATCTCCAAAGCAAGCCAGTGGTCCAAATTCCATACGATGGAATACTTCTCAGCAATGAAAAGGAACAAACTATTCCTAAGCCATGCTCTACAGCATGGGTAAATCTCAACTTTATTATACTGAATGAAAGAAGTCTCCTTTACCTCCCTCAAAAGGTGCATACTATACGACTCCATTTATATGTAACTCAAGCAAATGTAAACTCATCTATGGTCAAGGAGCGCAGACCACTGGGTTGCCTGGGGATGAAAGAAGTATTGCAAAAGGGCAAGGGGAAACTTCAGTGGAAATGGAAATTTCACTATCTTGACTTTGTTGATAGTTTTATGGGTTTTTTTATACAGAAGTTAGAGCTTATCAAATCGTATACTCTCTGTAAGTGTAGTTTATCTCAGGTAACTCAATAAAGCTGAAAAAAATATAATATGAGCTCTTTATATATACCTTATATTTTTATATAAATACAAATGAATAAAGACATTTTAAAAGAAAGTGTGAGAGGCCTCTCAAAATGCAGTCAGTGATTAGAAAAATAAGGGGAGTGCGAAAGTCAGCTGAGCTATGTGTTAGCCCCATTCTCTGCCAACCAACCAGCTGTGACACTTTGGGTAAGTGGCTTAATTTCTCAGTTTGATCAAATGATGGATTAGACTAGATGCTCTGTAAGGTCCCTTAATGCTCCCAGTTGTAGAAAGCTAATTTATATTCTCCTTTGTTGTAGGTTTCCAATGCACATAGTCAGCAGATGGACGACCTCTTTGATATCCTCATTAAAAGCGGAGGTAGGTCAAAGCCACATCAGACCCGTAGGGGTTCTTATCACGAGTTTATGAAAATTTTCCTCTAGAACCCACAGTACATCTCTTGATAGTGAGAAACATACTCTTCTAATTCTAACTAAATTTACTCCTTTAAATCTGTTAAATTTAGGCCATTAAAATGGAGGAAAAGCCATTGCTGCAGTGTAACACAGTCAGATACTGTTAGATTTAGCCACAGAGGTATGTTTGCTAAAAAAGAGGAACCATCTCAAAATAGCACAGTAGAACTGGATTTAAATTCTACATTGAAAAACTTCAAAACTTCTCCACATGCATGTTACTGTGATGGGATGAAAACGCTCCAGTTTGTGCACTGATTTCATAAAACCCAAGTTACCTAGCTTGGGCTCTGATAACTTTATTAAAATTCAAAGGTAAGGCACTTTATACATATGATTGAAAATCTTAGATTTTTACAGTCTGCCATCTTAAAAAGGGATAAGGGATATTAAACACACCAAAAAATCAAGGATCTCTCTGCCTCAGCTCACATACATTTAAAAACAAGTACAAAATCAGTACTTCAGAACTTCAGATGCTGTTTTGGAGTATTTTAAAGTATTCTCAGATTACCTTGATGAAAGGAGTTTTATTCCAAGTTTTAAATAGTGATCAAAATTTCTCCATTTATAGCAGGTTCTGTTCGATTTTGAGGCTAATGATTTTGTCATAATGTTTGACAAAACAGAAAATTCTACAGATCTACATGTGCAAATAGCTTTTTTTTTTTTTTTGGTATTCTTAGCCTTTGCTATTTTTGCTATGTTGGCCTTGCAAAATAATTTGAACTCATGATACATGTCTAAACTATAGAAATTAAAGAAATAGATATTCCATGGCCTGAATTTAAGGGTAAAAAATAAAATGCTTTTTGCCAAATTTGATGAAAATAAAGAGTTTTTGAAATAATAATTTTTACAGCCTAAACTTGGAAATTAAAAATGTGACAAAGTCATCAAACAATGGAGTTATTTTTTTAAAGGGATGATTTTTTTATGGCAAAGAATCCAATGAGTATATTATTTTCTTACTGTATACTAATACCAGTAGTAATGAGAACAGATTTAGTTCATTGTAAAATTACTTAGATTGCACTTTCAGCTTTTAAAGCAATTCTAGAAATGACAACAGATAATGAAAAGCAGCACACAGCGCACACAGTTGACAGTTCACTTATAGGAAGCAGATTGTAAGTTCTTTCTCTCACTTATTTATGCATCCCAGTCATTGACTTGTAAGAGTAATTATTAAATCGATGTTTCCTAGTATATCTGCATATAAATGAAACCAATCAAATACTCATAAGAAAATAAAAAAGCTACCTCACTCAAATATGTGTAGCTAAGTGAACATCAGTCTCTATAGCAGAGGGCCCATTAATTTTCTACTTGATCTGGCAGGGAATAACTCATAAATAATGCTTATTAAGACACTTACCAAATCTTCAAGATTTTATATAAACTCAGAAAACAAGAGAAAAATAAGGTAATTCACCTCATCTTGGAGAAGGAGGTCAAAGGAGCCACGTGTCAGCCTAACTCAGAAATGACGTAAGAGGACACTGCATCTTTTAAGAACCTTATATAGGATGTAAATGGCTGCACTGGGCACACAGTTCAACTAGAGTGGTTAAAAAAAGAATATAATTAGATCTTTCATAATATTAAGGATGTCTGCACAAACTCAGGACATACACTTTGACATTCAGCTTTAAGAGTGGTGTGTCCCTGTGACAGCAGATTCAAGGTACAGGATAAGACCAGGGCCCTGTCTTCTGCCAAAAACGACTGAGAGTAAGGATCCAAACGTTGTACATCTGGAACCATCGACTCCTGCCTGATGGTATACACCGCTTTTAAAGCTCGCTCTTACTAAGAAAGCTTGAAAGCGTATCAGAATGTTATCACCTTAAATGTTTGTCTGTTGAACAATGGTCCATTATCGTGATGGTTTTTAAGGACTGTACCTGATCAACAGCATCCTCTTACTAACTCAAGATGGACTAAGTATAAGGCATCGTGAAAACAGCAAAATACTTGCCCTAATAATTAAAAATTTTAAATAGTAGTAAATCATTACAGTAACAATCACTTCGATTGTTTTTCACAGAGATTTCCCTCCCTATAAAAGAAGAACCTTCTCCTATTTCCAAAATGAGACCAGTGACAGCCAGCATCACCACAATGCCAGTCAGCACAGTGGTGTCCCGGCCACCACCCCAAGTACAGATGGCACCGCCCATTTCCTTAGAACCCATGAGCAGCTTATCTGCTAGCTTAGAGAACCAACTAGAAGCTTTCTTGGATGGAACTCTACCTTCAGCCAGTGAAATCACTCCACTCCAAAGCGGCAGCGAGGACAGAGAGCCCTTCTCCCTGATCGAGGACCTGCAGAACGACCTGCTCGGTCACCCGGGCGTGCTGGAGCACTCACACTCACCCATGGAGACTGCCGAGGCCCACTTCGCTGCGAGCACTCCCTGTCTGTCCCTGGACCTTTCGGACTCAAACTTGGACAACATGGAGTGGTTGGACATTACCATGCCCAGCACGTCATCGGGGCTCACTCCACTCAGCGCCACTGCTCCAGGCATGTTCTCCGCCGACTTTCTAGATCCCCAGGACCTACCGCTGCCATGGGACTAACATCACAGGTTTCTCGTCTCGGAGTTCATGAGGTTTAAGAAAATGAAGATGATTCTAAAAGGTCAGTTTTTAGAGACAGATCCATAGTTGCATCACTGCAATTATCACATGTTGTCACAGAAGGAACGGGTGGACGGTCAGAGGAAGGAAACCAAGTTTGGAAACACTTCATCGTATCCAGCAGTGAACGTCTACAACTGAATACAGCACAGGGCCTTCTGAAAAATCACTCGTCCAAGACTTCTATTTCTCCAGACTTCAGTGAAGAGTGAAAGGTACCTTTGGGTAAAAACATGATGAAGAGTTCTGTGTGCAGGCGGTGACATGAGGGCCCTAGTAACCAACTACGTTTAAACGTCTGTGGTCACTTTAAGACACTAAATAAAAGGCCCCACTCAAAAAAGAAGGGAGGTGAGAGATTACTGCCCATGGTTATTTCCTAGAAACGGCCTGAGCCCAGCAAGATGCGGCAGGGGTCTAAGGCAGTGGAGAGCACCAGCCAGCTCAGTGCAGCTTCCCGCCGAAGACTTTCGGTTCCATCAGAAACCAACGTAATTTGTGTGTGTGTGTGTGTTGTAGTTATTTTGTGATTTTTGGAATCTTTCTTTAGATTTCCAAATTTAAATTTAAATGGAAGATCTTCCACCATAACCAGACAATGTCTACAAAATACTGTCATAAACGATCCACTGTAAAAAGTCCAGGTGTATTGATAACACTGAAAATTCTACTAGCAACCCGCTGGGTTGATTAGGTTGATTTTAATGTGTATATTGGACATTTGTGTGTATACTCTGACATTGTGATGTGTACAGCCTACGTCGGAGTAAGGAATTGGGTATCCAGTGGTCCTACTTCTTTTAATAACTCGAATATTTCTAGACTACTTGAGCCACGTGCATTTCCATATTTAAAGAATTGCTGACTAACTTTCAGGTAACCAGACCCATCTCAAAGAACCAAGAAGAGGCTTTAGCGTGAAATACCTTTCTGAGCTGGTGAGTCACAACGAGAAAAGCAAGGGAGAAGGCTGTCATCAACCTAGGACATTCCCATAGCGGTTGCAGGTTAGAGGTGCCGCCAGGCTGGCCAGCGGACCCCCATCTGGCCTCTCCTCTGTCCCTTGTCCCTGTTACCGTTTCACAGGCTTGTAACTGGACGTCATACCTGAGCTCTCACAATATTACTGAGCTGAAGATTGAAAAACTGGAGGTTTCATTAGTAGTTTTTTATATAGAAAAAGAGTTGTTCTATTTGTGGAGTAGTTTCTTAAGAATTTTCTAAAAGTGCCAACCGTCACAGGATTTCCAAGATTATTTCAAGCTGGTCATTCAAGTATATGACAAAATGCAAATCACTGAAAAAAAGAAAAAAGAAAAACCTGAAATCTACCCAAAAGTGTGGAGATTTTTATTAAATAATACTGTCGCACTCTCCGCCTCACCCTGTGTACACCCTGCGGTCAGGTCTCTCCTCTGGGTCACTGGACGATGAGAGTTCCCACAGGGACATGCAAGAGGCAACCTGACCCATGACTTGGAAACAGTCTCTTGAATCATTTTCTGGGTTTGTGTTTTGCCCTAAGAGCTGATTTCACATTTTTATTTCGGTTTGTAAATTTTGCTACCTGTACGAAAAGTCCATTTTCCCAGGATTCAGCCGCCCAGAACACTGGAGCCCTCTGTTGACTGGCACTCCCCAACCTGAAGGTGCTTCTGGATAATTCGAGGCAGAGGCGGCCACGCGCAGGGTGGTCCGCACGACGCACTTCAGTGTTTAGAGGTGGGTGATCCCCCGTGTGGGGGCGCCGCCGCCTGACGCACCCGGCGGGACGTGCGCCTGGGTCAGCCCCTTCCAGAGGGCTGGCGTCCGGGGCAGGGCTGTGGGCTCGGGAAGCTACTTTTGTTAGGGCAGATCTGGGCCCTGGACTTTTGCCCGGGGCTTATCTGGTCCACACTTAAGACCCTGAGCACCGTCTTCATTCAGATTTAAATGGCTCATTAGCCCCGAGTATCGGTGGGACTGTAGGCGGCGGCTGCGCAGCTGGTGGTGGTGACTCCTGTTGAATAACCTGCTATTTCCATCATCCCAAGTTGTGTTCTAGGTCGTTTTCTAGCCCTCAGCTCCCTGTACTGCTTTCTGAAATAGGTTTGAAACATGCCACAGGAAGGCTGCTCTCCAGAAATACACACTGCAGTGCTAAGAACGCCATCTCCTAGCCTGCTCTCTTTTTTTGACTACAGATTGCTAAGGTGCCCACATCACATATGTGTTCACACCCTCACGTTCCAGCATTTTTTTTAAAAGAAAGGCAAGGCGTCTCTAGTTACTAACTCCACCGGCCACCCACTCGCACCATTCCGCTGGGCCCTCCTGTCCTGGCTTGAGCAGCAGGCTGGGCATTTGTGATACCGTGCTGCCCTCCGGGCTCTCACCTACTGCCCCAGGCTAGACTGAGCACACAGACGGTGCAGCACGTGACGTGACCAAAGATGACACTGTGATCAAGGCTCCTCTGCCCTAGCTCGGTGTACATGATGGTAAGTGCGATGGGACAAGTGCGTGTTCACTAAAGAGGACTAGTTTTTGTGGTCAGTTTCACAGCCCTCTGAACACAGGTCAGAACGGCTGGTTGCATTTTCAGTCTGCACGTGTGTAGTGTAGCGGTGGTACCCTGTGTATCACCGTGCAGATCTCACATTGCCAAGAAAACGGCTAACTCCTAGAAACAGTCTCTCACATCCAGTCTTACTTCCTAACTATTCCTAAAACACAGGAGTATCCAGCTTACCTGGCTAGCGTATGTACATGTCAGGTCATGTCGTGACGGGGGGCGCGGGGTGAAGAGGAAGTCGAAGTCACACCGGAGCTTCCGCAGTCTTTGGAAGCCCAGGGGCATGTGGGCATCGTGTACATTTCAGCAAAG